AGGAGGAGGAGGAGCAAATCAGTAATTCATAGTACAATTAGGCAATCCACCAAGTTCTTCAACATCGAATTTTACCTTCCTAGATGGACAGGTAAGGGATGGATGGCTGGATGAATGGATAGAGGGATGGATGGGTACAGGATGGATGGCGCATTGTCTCCTATAATGGTCAGCTCTGAAACATACCAGGCTGATATCTTTGCTGATGGAAGTACTGCTGTTGAACGCTCCGTCACCATGCTATTCCATGTACGCCTTCGACCTGTTGTCTGCCATCTCAAGTATTGGTGGCGTCTAGACAGGCTCAAGAGTTAAGGGCCGCTTATTTGAGACTGGACGCACCTTCTACGGTAGTTTTGTTCTTCACTCATATTTTGCTGAAGGTGAAGATTTGACTCGAACTCTCTTTGATAATTTATCGACTGATATTCGAAATGCTAGCTGAAATTCACAGCCTGTAGAATGCCTCGTTATCTGGTCAAAACAAACCCACCACATTAAGAAAAAGAATTACTTTTTCCTTCATAAATTTCGAGCACAGAGTTGTCTGCCATCTTCACGTCAGTGAGCCTGAAGTGATCATGTGACGCCCTCAAGCATGTGGCGCACGACACCCTCATTACATCACACAAAAGCTACGAAAACCCACCAGATGGAAAACCAGAGATCGTGTCTTCTAGAGCCAGTTCACAGTGAATGGTTTCAGTTTCCTGCACGAGAGAATGAAACAGGTCCAGTAGTCTCCACTCCCATGGTGTTAGCTCTTCTGGGCCGACTGTGGTGGTTTGCAGTACATCCAATCCGCAGTCTTCCCACCAGACCCTCCAAAAGCCGGCGCCTTGACACTTGATTGGTATGGAATTAGTCGGTAATGAGGCCACGCAAGAGGTGAATCTCTTCGTGATGATAGTGAAGCAGGCTGGGCACCCATAATGTTCCAGATTGGTTCGCCCACTCAAAAACTTTTTACTATTTCAAAATCCGATCTGGGGGTATTGGATTCTTAAAATGGAAAATCTTTCACCTCTCAGACTACCTCCTCAATAATTTTTCTGTAGTGTTGTTCTAAGGATGGGACCTTCTACGAATGCGCCTTAGGGGTCCTGTCCCCTGAGTGGGCGGCCTTCATTCATGTGCCGTTGTTGCTGCTGTTTTGATGGTTATGGCAGTGCAGAAGTGAATGCGTGCACAACTGACGGGTTCTAGACCAAAAGCGAGCTGCTTGGCATACCTTGGACATTCCCGGTGTCTACTGTGGAGTTGCTAGTCCTCCAGGCTTCTGATAATCTACAATCCGTTCCTCCATCCGCTTATCATTCCATGCCTTCAGAAAGAGTCCACTCGTCTGTTCGATTGTCCGTCCGTCCATCAAGTATTCTTCATCCATCCACTCGCCCAGTCATTCATCCGTTCACTGTCTTATCCATTCAGGGTCTCTCTGGGATGTATTTATACGTCAATACTTCTCTGAAGCTCGTTCAGCGATCTCTCATCCCCTCTGTAGATCAATCTCGGACAGATCTGGGCAGTCATCTCTAATTCATTTATCTAACTCTCCTCTGTCTCCTCCTTCCCGCACTTCGCCCCGAGTGTAGATGCACAGTAGGATCCAGACTTTATTTGGAAAAACAAGAAGAGTCAAACAACCACTTTTCTTCCATCTTTAGTAGCGATTATTTTAGTTGCCAAAGAGTGGATTCAACGTGGGACGTTAACGCACGTGGAGTGGAACGACATCTCGTGGAATGATTTAACCAATCCAACTGAGCTATCAATCACTCGGTCGCTTTCCACGACGTCGGGTGACGATGGGGAAATTCTGCAAGTGGATAGCCATTTACTCTTAATCACCGGATGCCTTGATGTCCCGCCTTGAATTGAACAACTGTGGTGACACTTTCGTTGAATTTGAAGATCTGCCTCCATCCGGTAGTGGATTAATCAGTCGTTTTACGCGCTGAATGCGTCAATACATGACTGTTGTACTGCTGTTGAACGTTCCATGTAGGCACTGGACTTGATGGTTGCCATCTCGTGTAGGGGTGGTACCTGGGCTCGCCCATGACCCAGGGATCGCCCAGTAGTGGCAAGACACACTGAGCACGGCAGCCTAATTCCTCATGCATTTAACGTTACAGGTGGCGCTGTGGGCACGAAAATTCTACCGCTAGGGTTTGAAGTGCAGCGTTGGAGGTTAGGAAGGTTTGCTGGGATTCACAACCTGTAGAATGACCCCTTTCTACGGTATATCTCGGTGACTCTGTCCATATTCTACTTCGGAATATGAACAAACATTCCTGTCAACTCTCACCAATTGGATCACTGGAAGTTACTTAAATCTGCGAGTGAATTAGTGCGTCGGGGCAGGGAGAATTGATCTGAGTTTGCATGACCGGACGGAGCAGATACCAATGCCCCGGAAGAAGGGAGATGACGGAGCTTCGAAGGACCCCTCGCTCAAAAATGATGGTCGAATCTCTAATCAGTACATGGTGAATATGGGTCGGGTTCTTTGTGCATCTCAAGATTGAATGAATGGATGAACCAGAAGTGTGCGCACCAGGCAGTTCCATATGACAAGGCTTCGCGGAAAAGTGGTAGCCGAATAGCTAGAAGGACGCAAGGACAGATTTCAGCAGTCCCATGCGACGTTGTCATGGTGGCTTCAGAGGACGACTCAGTCTTATACAAGGATATATCACCTTGAACAGATTTTCACCAAATGACTCGTAGGTAGGCACTAAAAACCCCTTAAGTGCCGCATGGAATAGCCTCCGTCACCACTTCGCCGGAAAGATGTTATAATAGCTGTGACTCAGTGGATGGACAGACGGGTGGAAGAAGGCAGAATGGACAAATTTTTAGATTTTATTGGATCCCCCCAGTTAAATCAAGGCTGAATGCCGGTGCGTTAGAAAAACTAGGCAAGGATGTGGGTAAAGGAACATGGTAGAAGGAAGGGAAGGCAGCCAGGGATGGGAGGAGTCTGACACTGCAAAACAATTCGTATTTTCATCCAACCTAAGTCAAAGAGGCGAACATTGGATTGTGCCGACAGATGGCCGGTCCATATTCCTCGTATTGGGCACGTGTGTGACAGGCCGTGTAGAACTCCGGCTGAAAGGTGAAGGGGCAAAATGTCTACTGATCTCTGAAATAGAGATCAAAGGCCACGAGATGATGGAATGGACAGAACCGATTCGATCACGATTGGAATGAGAGAATACCACCCCCCCCCCCATCTTCCATTACCCTTTCAATCAAGCCTAGCAGCTACCGCTGAGGAGTGCAGATGGCGGAAATAAACGCGATATTTTAATTTAAAGGATTTTCGTTGCAAAAAAAAACAATTACTTCCACCGCAAAAAGCGAAATCGCCACTTCTTTAAACCAAAAGATTCAAAACAACTTAGAGCGTGTGATCATCCTAGCAGTGGTTGATTTGAATGCGCACACCCCAATAGTCGTGTGTCTGTCAGTGACGGCCGCGGTCATGGCGTCCTCACCCCGCAAAAACTTTGTGGATTTATGATCAATGCAAGGCTAGTAAAAAAAATGAGGACCTCTTCTTCCTTCGCTGCTTTAACAACTTTCCGCATCTAATCTGCTTGCAGCTGTAGACGCTCTTCAGCAAGGCAGACTAGCATGCCCCAGATGCCCTCATTGCGAGTAAAAACTCCCCGTAGATCGTTTCTCCCTGGTGTCAAAACAGACAAAAAAGTTCAGAATTTTGTACCTTATGGTAAAAAGGGTCTTTTTTCATCTCATAAGGGGTGCAAAATATCACAAATTAAGAACGTCAAAAGATGATTCCTAAAGGCAGTCTAGAGGATACCTCTCAGATGTCGTGATCATCCTAGGAGCGACCTATTCGGAAGACCCCACCCCCCAATCCTTTACTTGAAACCACTCCAAAAGACCACTTTCATTACCAAGGATCAAGGAAAAGCAGTGATTTGGAAACTCACAGTGCTAGCAAGAATCGACCCACCAAGCCACACCGCATAGCGTTGCATTCTGTGTGAAACAACGTTCACCTCTATTGGCGTGGGCTAAAAGACGAAAAAAGCACTTCAAATTACCGCAGAAAGACTCCATAAATAATGTGTTAGCCTATCTGCTAATCAACGCCATTTGGTCTTAGAAATTTGATAGGATTAAATGAGGCACCAATTAAGCCACAAGTCCCTCTGCTGACAACGGGTTTAAGTAGCAAGGTCACACCAACCTTCATCCGTCCACCAGTTAGCTTCTCCGTCATCTCCAGTCTTGTATTCACAATACTCTGAATGTCTCGTTGAATACGACGACCCAGATTCTTGAACATAGAACTGCCTCCAGAAAGCACAATGTTCTAGATGAGTGGAGTGAGAGAAAATAGATTAACTTACAGCATAGAGACCACGTCGAGCGTCAATTGGAGAGTTTTGGATGACCCCGTCAACAACAGTACTGATCGACTCAGTGTAATCCCGACTAACAAACTGAAGTGAAGAGCAAAATGGATAAGCACCGATACTACTTACGTCAGTGAAGATAGAAAATTAAGTAACAGGGTGGGGGAAAGAGCTTACTTCGGGGTGAAAAAAGACCGCAGGAGCGAGGAAGCGCTCGTAACCAACGTCAAAAGTAACAGGAGGGTGTTTGGGATGTTCTACAACATCCTTGGTGGAGAGCCACCTCTGCGGGTCGAGGTCGTACTTCCGAAATTCCCTGGCGATGTCCGAACAGATGTAGCAGTACCTATGCGGCAAAGGTAAAGGAGGGTTGGAACACATTACATCCTGTAAATTCGAAGCTCATTCTACCTTTACAACTAATTCCTATCATCAGATACAGTAACCATCCACCCGCTGCAGAAGCTTAACAAAGAAAAAAGAGGGTTTAACGGACAACAGGAGTGGAGAGACCGAAGGCAGAACCCACGGCAATCGAATTTCCTTGTTCGAAATGACCCGGATTTACTAAAGATGAAGTGGGTGTCGAAGCTCACCGATGTCAGTTCGCATTTAAATGGTTAAAGAAATGGTGCTAAGGTGGATGGATTTAATCAAATGCGCCAAGAAAACCGACTACTTAGTACGTTCTCAAACTTAGCGCCTGGGATGATCCAAATTATTTCATTTATCCAGCCTGCCCACCTCTCTTTAATCTTCTTTGCAACTTCCATGGATAGATCCGGTGGAATTCCCGATTCGCGTTCACGCAGGAGTTGTTGAATGAAGGAGGTTATATCTCTGCCCGCTATTGGAATGTGCTTTATGCACGAACCAACCACATATCCATCAACGACAGGCATAACATGTGTTACACCATCACCAGAGTCAATAACTGTACCCGTAAGAGAGCGCTCTTCAGCTTTTCTTGCTCCCCAAGAGGCTACAAGAGCCAGCATTGCCTAAAAATTAAATTTGGCTATCGATAAATAGCATAACGTAAGAATCGGTTGGAGGTGTCCATAAAGAAAACAATCAAAAGACGAAAGAAGCGTCGCATTTACCTGCATAGCAATGTAGAGACCGGGAATGTTAAACGTTTCAAACATAATCTCGGCCAGGTACTCCCGGTTTTCGGGTGTATTCAGTGGTGGTTCAGTCTAAAATAAAACGGAAAAAAATTGCTACCTAAAACGGCAAATGAAGAATACCCTTCCAAACAAGCATCATGGATATTTAGTAAGCCTGAAAATTAAGTATAGGAATGTACCATTAAAAAAAAGTGATCCTCGGGTTCGGCACGCAAAACTCCGAAAATCACTTGCTCCATGTAACGTTGCATGAGGTCCCAGTCCTCAATGATGCCATGACGAATAGGCCACTAGGTGAAACGGAACGATTAAAAGTCAAGGTGACAGCATGAATCGGCAATTGCTGAAGAGGGAGAATCACCTTTAAGGAAAAGTCGTTTTTACCCTCGGCGGCAATGGCTTCATCACCAATGTAGAAGTTGAGATCATCTAAGCCAGTGCCAAGACGTCGTGTATCACGATTCCCGACCTTCCCATATTCCTTCACAGCAATACATGATGGAATTATGCATTGCGGTTGCATATTCCCGGCATAACCGATCTTAGAATAGCTAGGAAGTGTTAAATTGTCTGGGTGAACAACAACGCATGTCCAAACACACAAAGCTATGCGCATCAGAACTAAGCATTTATTTCTACCTTACGATTAGAAAGTTATACTGTTCATAAAGCCTCTTGTATTAAAGCCACATAAGAGAAATGCCTGAAAAGACTAAATTGGTGGCTGTCCTGGAAACATGCCTCAATCATCGAAATAGCATCTCTGCAAAAAGCAATTGCTTGTCAACAAAACTAGTGTCCTTAAGAATTACCCTGTTCCATTGTCTACAACCGCCGCAGGAAGTCTATTTGACATTGCCAGAGGGTTCTAATAAGGCGCCGATGCTTGCACTCATCTAAAAGCTGTATTGTGGAATTTAAAGGTGAGTAAAACGTGTTATTTATGCCATTAAAAACGTTTTTCTAATAAAAAAATGATTGTATTATAGCATGATGATGAGTGAACAAAGTGATTGTAACATCAAGTTTAGTTTAGTTTGCATGGCTGACAACCACTTCAAAGGATTTAATTGAAAAAACTGCTTTTGGTATAATTGTCTCAAATTTTTTTCTTTTTTAAAACTGCGAAATTTTGTAGTCGTCGGCTTAGTCTCGGGGAGCACTTGCAGGTTTTCTTAAATAATGGCCTGACGCGATCCAATATAATCAGGTGATAAGCACTTTGTGGAGCGAGACTCCTCGGTCTCCGCTTCCCGATTCCTAGCGTTCCTAGACAAGCCCGGTTGGTTTACTTTGGACATCTTTATTAAAGACGACAAGATGAATAAGGGAAATAC